GATTCCACGATGCCACTGGAGCAGGAGGTGTTAGCAACCCTCGACGGGGATGGGGTGTCCTCTCCGTCAGAACCCGCACCCTCACTCTCCTCCGTGCGCTCGCTTTGCATCTCCTCCGTGCGCTCGCTTTGCATCTCCTCCGTGCGCTCGCACGCGTATTTGGTTGCATTATTCATTCAAGCATGCAACAACAAGGATACCAACAGGTTATGAGGCCGTTCGGACAACGTCGGTGGCGTTAACGCTGCGCGGATCAGATCGCAGATGCAAACGATGCAAGGATAGGTTGTGGAGGTATGTCGTTGTCGACAGAGGTCCTGACGGTTTTCGCACGCTCATTTGACTGCATCATTCCACCAAGCATGCTATAACAAGGATACCAACAGGATATGAGGAGATGCAGACAACGTCGGTGGCTTTGACGCTGCGCGGATCAGATATCTGATGCAAACGACGCAAGGATAGGCTTTGGAGGTTCGTCGTTGTCGACAGAGGTCCTAACGGTTTTCGCACGCGTATTTGGTTGCATTATTCCTTCAAGCATGCAACAACAAGGATACCAACAGGATATGAGGCCGTTCGGACAACGTCTGTGGCGTTAACGCTGCACGGATCAGATCGCAGATGCAAACGATGCAAGGATAGGTTGTGGAGGTATGTCGTTGTCGACAGAGATCCTGACGGTTTTCGCACGCTCATTTGGTTGCATCATTCCATCAAGCATGCTAAAACAAGAATACCAACAGGATATGAGGTCGTTCGGACAGCGTCGGTGGCGTTGACGCTGCGCGGATCAGATCGCTGATGCAAACGACGCAAGGATAGGTTGCGGGGGTATGTCGTTGTCGAAAGAGGTCCTGACGGTTTTCGCACGCTCATGTGATCGCATCATTCCACCAAGCATACTATAACAAGGATACCACTATGAGGTCGTTCGGACATCGTCGGTGGCTTTGACGCTGCGCGGATCAGATCTCTGATGCAGACGAGGCAAGGATAGGCTTTGGAGGTTCGTCGTTGTCGACAGAGGTCCTAACGGTTTTCGCACGCGTATTTGGTTGCATTATTCCTTCAAACATGCAACAACAAGGATACCAACATGATATGAGGCCGTTCGGACAACGTCAGTGGCGTTAACGCTGCGCGGATCAGATCGCAGATGCAAACGATGCAAGGATAGGTTGTGGAGGTATGTCATTGTCGACAGAGGTCCTGACGGTTTTCGCACGCTCATTTGGTTCCATCATTCCATCAAGCATGCTATAAGAAGGATACCAACAGGATATGAGGTCGTTCGGACAACGTCGGTGGCGTTGACGCTGCGCGGATCAGATCGCTGATGCAAACGACGCATGGATAGGCTGTGGAGGTTCGTCGTCGTCTTCAGAGTTCCAAACGGTTTTCGCAAGCGTATTTGGTTGTGTCATTCCATCAAGCATGCTATAGCAACGATACCATCAGGATATGAGCCTGTTCGAACAACGTCGGTGGCGTTGACGGTACACGGATTAGATCGCTGTTGCAAACGATGCAAGGATAGGCTATGGAGGTTCGTCGTTGTCGTCAGAGTTCCTAACGGTTTTCGCACGCGTATTTGGTTGCATCATTCAATCAAGCATGCTCTAGCAACGATACCATCAGAATATGAGGAGATGCGGACAACGTCGGTGGCCCTGACTCTGCGCGGATCAGATCGCTAATGCAAACGATGCAAGGATAGGTTGCGGAGGTTCGTCGTTGTCGACAGAGGTCCTAACGGTTTTCGCACGCTCATTTGGTCGCATCATTCCATCACGCATGCTATAACAAGGAATCGAACAGGATATGAGGCCGTTCAGACAACGTCGGTGGCGTTGACGCTGCGCGGATCGGATCGCTGATGCAAAAGATGCAAGGATAGGCTGTAGAGGTTCGTCGTTGTCGTCAGAGTTCCTAACGGTTTTCGCACGCATATTTGGTTGTGTCATTCCATCAAGCATGCTATAGCAACGATACCATCAGGATATGAGGCTGTTCGAAAAACGTCGGTGGCGTTGACGCTACACGGATTAGATCGCTGATGCAAACGATGCAAGGATAGGTTGCGGAGGTTCCTCGTTGTCGACAGAGGTAATGGCGGTTTTCGCACGCATATTTGGTTGCATCATTCCATCAAGCATGCTATAGCAACGATACCATCAGGATATGAGGAGATGCGGACAACGTCGGCGGCGTTGACGCTGCGCGGATCAGATAGCTGATGCAAAAGATGCAAGGATAGGCTGTGGAGGTTCCTCGTTGTCGATAGAGCTACTGGCGGTTTTCACACGCGTATTTGGTTGCATCATTCTATCAAGCATGCTATAACAAGCCCACCATCAGAGTATGAGGCTCTTCGGACAACGTCGGAGTCGTCGGCGCTGCGCGGAACAGATCGCTGATGCAGCCGGCGCAAGGATAGGCTGCGGAGGTTCGTCGTTGTCGACAGAGGCCCTGACGGTTTTCGCACGTGCATGTAGTTGCATCAATCCATCAAGCATGCTATATCAAGGCCACCATCAGGATAGGAGGTTATTCGGACAACATCAGAGGCGTTGACGCTGCGCGCAAAAGAGCGCAGTTGCAAACGGTGCAAGGATAGGCTGCGGATGTTGGTTGTTTCCAAACAACCTCCCGGGCGACAGGCCGCATGATAATCCCCGATTTTGTAATTTCTACATACTTCTAGCCGCCTTGGGGGTACAATGCTACCATCATCAAAGGAGATGCATCACATAGGTGTTGTCAGTAGAAGGTTGTTTCATAGCTATATGGATTATACGTTTTTATCGGATCAATAGTAACGAAACCCTAGACGGTCAAGTGGTTACAGAACCTCTGTGACTGGTCACAGCGCATGAAGGGTCCCAAACAGACCAAATCGCAGACGAATCAGAAGTGGGAGAGATTCACTCGTGCACGAGTCGTGAATGTGATGCAGCTACAATATCGTCGCGCTGGCAAGGAAGAAGCCGACGATTTGGTGATGGAGCTTCACATTCTGCACTCGACTTGGTGCTGCGTGTGGTGGTGGTGTCAATGAACAGTGAAGCAGGCAGAATGTGCTGGCATTGCTGTACTACTGTGACAACACTGTTCATCAACCATGGAGCAAGTCTCCCACAGTCCTAGATCTGCAAAAAAGATGGGTGGGGTGTGTTGGTTTTGTCGTCTCTTTCAAACTATTTTTTTTGTCGGAATGATAAAACAACTTATTTTGAAATGTATAACTTTCCTCCCGACAACAAAGGCTTTCATATACGGTGTACTTTTTTTTTTCTCAAAGAAAGGCCCGCTTTGGAAAAGACGCGTTGGTTCGCATCTGGGGGGGAGGGGGAGGTGGGTGTGTAAACGCGTGAACTGTTTGCCTGGTTGCGAGTTTTGTTTGCCACCATTTGAGCAGTTGCGCTGGAGTTGCCAAAGCCAGCGCAACTGCGTTGTGCTAGAGCTGCCAATCCCAGCGCAACAACGCAGCGCTGGAATTGCCAAACCCACGCACCTGCGCAGCGCGCAATTGCTGCATCAACCAGCAATTGAGCAACTTCGGTGGGGTCGCCAAACCCGTCGCAACTTCGTGTACTGTTTCCAAACACGCCAAATTGCCAGCAGAGCGCGTTTCATCCATGCTGGCAGCGGGCGATGCAAGGATGGAGTTTGGCAGCGACGCCGTTGTCCTAGCGTGTTGAATAGCAGCTGTCATAACTGCCTACGTTTTTGTCGACAAGAACTACAGTATAAGCTGCCAGCTGTACCGTTTGATAGCTTGTGGTTATTTTACGAGGAGATTTTTGGAAGGCGGATTGAAGAGTGCACATCGCAAAAACAAGAGGATTCGCATTGGCTTATGCACTACACGAGTGGCCAGTTTGTGGGCAGAAAGAATTTCACAAATACTGTACCCCAGTTTAGACTGCCATTTTTGCTGTGGGAGGCACCAGGGTAAAAATACGGCCCAGAAATTATTCAAACCAGCCTGGCGTAAAAAGACAAATCTGACCTTTTGTGAGAACGACATCATTAGAGCAACAGGTCAAGAACTTTCTAGAAGGTCTTGTTTGATCGAACCCACAATCACGTGACAATGCTGCCACCACTAAAGCAGTTGAGAGTGGGACTAGGAGACAAGAAGGTCCTCTAGAAAGTCACGTTCTTTGTGTCTGAGGAGCTTCACTCTTGTATCATTATGGTCCGTGTTCACTGTGGAGAGGTGCACCAGAACTTGTTGTGTCAACACCTACATGAACTATAGGGAAAATGTTCAGATGACAAAAGTAGGGTGCGTGGAAGTTGTCACCAGAAAGTTTCGGATTTGGTACTGTTTCTGAACACGGTCTCAATCACACAAACCTCAATCCAGCACGAAGATGCAACGTCGTTCTGTGCAGCAAACCATTGCTGTACAGCAAACCACTGCTGTGCTGTGACGAATGCAGGCACGTAAGGAACATGAAGCTCACGGTACCGTTGCTGAGTTAGGCTCCCGTGCATGCAGTGACTCTACCCGGGACTGCAGCTATGGCGTTTCAACGGACCGCGGCACGTCAAAGCCCCAGTGACGATGTCCTAGCTAACCGCGTCCATCAGCAATGCATCTAGTCAATCTCATGCCTGATATGCCATAGGACCCGGTTGCCTAACAGGCGTATCATGCATTCCCGCACTGCACGGGGAGCTACCAGCCATGCGGAATCGAGCTGCACGATGAAGTGATCATATGCAGCGCATGGGATTTCCTGGCAGCGCGTCCTGTCAGCAGCCTTTCCATAGTTTGGAACACAACATGTGAGCTTAGGGATGGGCTGGATGTACTTAACTGGAATGGCAGTTCCTACTTTGCATTATATTTTCGAAACATTCAGCTATCCGTTTTGAAGCTGTGTTGCCACTCTCCAGGCTTTTTGTACGCCTACCCATGCGTTGGTGATTACATAGCATTGCCTTGAATCTTCTTGCACATACCCTGGTGGTCTTGTGGACGGCTCATGGCAGGTTCCAAACCAAGCTCAAGACGTCGAGATCTCGCGGAAGAGAACAAAGCCGGTGACCATGAGGACAACCCGCGGGAGGGAGCCCTTACTCTGAGAAAGTCTGGCCGGAAGAGGCGCAAGCGGGTCCGCATTGGGGAAGAAGAGTCTCAATCGGGTGAGGACGACCCAGGGCGTGATTCTGGCGATGGAGGAGAAACCACCGCGCGTGACTCTTCAACCTGCCATGATGAGACAACCGGGCTGGGAGCTTCAACTGACGAAGCTCATGGTTTGGAAAACGATGACGAGGGACCGGACGGCCCAAGCGACGCTGAGGACGAAGATGCTCGCGACGTGGAGGATGATGAGGAGGCTACGAACGAGGATGATGACGAGGAAGATGCTGACGAGGATGCTAACGATGAGTATGGGGAGGAGGTTGATGACGAGGAACAGGAGGAGGATGAACAGGAGGATGAACAGGAGGAGGAACAGGAGGATGAACAGGAGGAGGAAGATGAGGAGGAACAGGAGGAGGAACAGGAGGAACATGAGGAGGAAGATGAGGAGCAGGAGGAGGAACAGGAGGCGGAACAGGAGGAGGGACATGAGGAGGAACATGAGGAGGAACATGAGGAACGGGAGGAGGAACAGGAGGAGGAACAGGAGAACCAAGGGGAACGGGATGAGGAACAGCAGGAGAGAGGCGAGCATGAGACTGAGGCAGAACATGGTAACAACGATGCCGAGTGCGACATGGATCCCAACAGCCGTGAAGAGGAGGCTGTGGCTGAGGAAAGGGCCAGACAAAGGGGACGGATTTTACCAATTTCAATGCTCGGCGGCAAGGTCGTAATGGCGGATGGAAAAAAGTTGACGACGCACCCTGGAAAGGGTCCTGAGCAACCGAAAAAAAAAGAGACAAAGCATGCTGCTCGTTGTGAAAAGAAGGGGAGAGGTGCTGCGGCGGTTCAAGAGTTGGATAAGGGTGCAGTTCGAGAGGGAGGAGTGTTGAAAAAGTCGGGGGGGGGTGTGTTGGCCTGGTTGGATGACCCTAATGTGTCTGTGTTCTGCAAGGACAAGGGTGAGGGTACAATGACCCTTCATGTGCCGGGCAGGGAGGTGGGAAACATGTGCGGGAAGGGAGCAAGAAAGGAAGGGAAGAACGAGAAGGGGGCAAACGGAGGTAAAGGAACATCTCAAAGACAAGAGGGAGGGGGGATGGGCGGAGTCAAGGCAGAGGGGATTGGAGGAGTGAAGGCAGAGGTGATGGGCGGAGTTAAGGCGGACGGGGTGGGCAGATGCAAGGCTGGGGGAATGAGCGGAGGCAAGGCAGAGGGAATGGGCGGAGGCAAGGGCGGGGAAATGAGCGGAGGCAGGGCAGGGGGGATGAGCGCAAGCCAGGCAGGGGGGATGGGAGGTAGCAAGACAGGGAGAACGGGCGGGAACAAGGCAGGGGGGGTGGGAGGTGGCTATGTTGGGGGAATGGGCGGAGATAAGGCAGGGGGAAGGGGCGGGGACAAGGGATGGGGAACGGGAGGTCCTGAGGCAAAGGGACCGGGAGGAGGCAATGCAGGGGGAACCGGAGGAGCCAAAGGAGGGGGGGCGGGAGGAGGCAAGGCAGGGGGAACGGGAGGAGGCAAGGCAGGAGGGACCCGAGGAGGCAAGGCAGGAGGGACGGGAGGCGGCAAGGCAGGAGGGACGGGAGGAGGCAAGGCAGGAGGGACGGGAGGAGGCAAGGCAGGAGGGACGGGAGGAGGCAAGGCAGGAGGGACGGGAGGAGGCAATGCAGGGGGGACAGGAGGAGGCAAGGCCGGTGGGACGGGAGGAGGCAATGCAGGGGGGACGGGAGGAGGCAAGGCCGGTGGGACGGGAGGAGGCAAGGCAGGGGGGACGGGAGCGAAGTCCTCAAAAGGGAAAGAAAAGGTTGACGAGGCTGGTGATTCGGGGAAGAGCTTAACAGCTAAGCAACAAGCTGAAGGGAGTGCCAAGGCTAAGGGAACATCAGGTATGGTAGAAGGGCGGTGGGTGGGAGGTTTGGGGTTTGAGGATTCAAGGGGATGGGTGGAAACTGGGGGAGGGTTTAAGGGTGATTGTGTGGAAGGGGGGTTGGAAGAGGTAGGGTTTAGGGTTTAGGGGGGATGGTTGAGGGGGTAGGGGGTGGGAGAGCCCGGGTTTAGGGTTTAGGGGTAATGGTAGAGAGGGGGGGGAGATGGGGGGTTTTGGGTTTAGGGGTAATGGTAGAGGGTGTAGGTAGGTGTAGGGGTTGGGTTTAGGGTGTAGGGGGAGATAGTGCAGGGGTGGGAAGCAGGGTGAGGGAGGGGGGGTTTAGGGTTTCCCTTGCTGCCTGCCTTCCCTTGCAACCCTAAACCTTGTTGTGTTTGTGGTCTCATATTTTGTACTTGTGTCTCGGTATTCGGCTCTACCTTCCAATTTAGGGGCAGGTCCATCGGGTACATGCACTGCACGTGCCAGCACATGGGTGGAGTTTGGTTCGTGCAAGGAAGGAGCTGCTGTGGTTCGTTCCGGGAATCAACTAATGCGGATGAAGGATGGGGCTTCCAAGGCTGACCTCGCGGCACTGGAAGCACGATTGATGACCGCCATCAACAAGAAATTTGGCGGGGGTGGTGCTGTTATCGCCATGATGACCGATGCCAATGCTGAGTCTGGTGGAAATGATGCTCCTGCTTCATCGCTCACCAATCCTGCCAAATCAGCACCGGCAACATCTGCTCCTGCCAGTCCGTTTGCGATGGCGAAGGACGTGGTTACCAAAGGGGTCTCTGATTTCGAGGTCAGTACCGATGTCAACTATAGATATTCCGCTTTCCAAGACTCGCTCGCCCTCCCATTCACACCAGCTCAAATCTTTTCCCCCTTCACATCTCTTCTTTCCCCCCCCACCCCCCATGCACCCCCCCATTATTCCCCTCATATCCCCATTGAACTCTATGCTCTCATGCCCACCAGGGGCCTGTTGAACCTTGTTCACAATTGATGATACTTTGGACGTGAAACATCTCATACTACACTTCCCTCCCTCATTTCCTTCCCTCCACCCCCAATCCAGAAACTTGCAGGGTATTGGCGAGGATGACCTTAACCCCTGAAACATCCCTCCCTCCCTCCACCCACCCCCCTCGTGGCTAAAACCTCTAAAACCTTCAGCCACCCACCCTCCTCCTCTACCTTTGACCATTGGCTATTGTTGATGATTGCTAATTCAACCCTAAACCATGTGCCTCCACCTTAAACTCCCCTTGTCCCTCCTAAACCCCCCCTCCACCCTCAGGATTTTGGTGAGGACTCTCCAAAAACCCTGAATCATAACCACTCCCCTCTTGCCTAACCCCCCCTCTAAACCCGCCTCTTCGTCCACTCCCCCCCCTTGAACCTCCCCCTCCCCATCTCCAGAAAACTACTGTGTATAACCCTAAACCCTGAAACATCCCTTCCCCCTTCCTACCCGCTCCCCCTTTAACCCCCCGAACCCTAAACCCTCCCTCACCCCGCCCCGCCCCCCCTTTCCCTGCCCCGTGTCACCACCGCCGCAGGAGCTTTGCAAGAGTGTGGTGACATTTATGTGTTACAACATCGAGGCCAAACGGATTCAATTCTATCCTACCATTGCGGAAGCGCTAGACATTGGATTCAAGGAGTTTGTGTCGCCGGAAGTTTTAGACGCGCTCAAAAAGCTCTTTGTGCACAATGATCCGGGAACGCGTGGTGTGTTTTATGCCTGTATTTCAACCACCCGAACCACCATCAATGGCACGATGCGCAAGCAAGCACTGACTGCTTTGGGCCTGGAGAGCAACGCGTGCTACATCCCTAAGCTGCTCCCGGATCTGCCACGGCCCAGCGAACTTATCAAGGCGGATGCATTCAAAGCACGCTACTTGAGTGGTACGTTTAGTGTGGTGGTTTGTGCTATATTTTGAAGCGGTATACATTAGTGAGACGTGTTCCTTAGAGGTATACAAGTGTGTGTGTGTGTGTGTGTGTGTGTATGTGTATGTGTGTGTGTGTGTGTGTGCGCGGCAGGACCTCGGGGTCCTGGTTGGCACTGCGATGAGCACGGAAAGCCGTTTGCAACGGTGATTTTTGCAGTGTCGGTGCGTCACGCATTGACGAGGCGCGGAGTAGTGCTTGACAGGCTGAAGATCCGACAGATTGCCTGGATCTTGTATGCTGTAAGTGGCTGCAGATTGTTTGTGTTGTGGTTGACTGCTTGCATTTGCTTCGTTAAGACTTCTTTGAACTTCGGAGCAGTAGGAGGCTGAGCTTAAAACTTTTCTTTACAAACCCCTACCTACAGTCTCCTTCCCCTCCTTGGCATCCCACAGTTACCCTTTTTCACCCTCTTCGTAGCCCACCCTCCCTTTCCATTCTCATAATGCAGGTACCTTAGGTGGCTTTCAATGTGAAATCTGGGTCAGCACCTTGCCATTTCGCGCTTCGCTCCCCAATCACTTTCTAAACCCTCCGTTCCTTTCACTAATCACGTCGGCCGTTCCCTATACTCGTCATCCTTGCTCTTTTCCCTGATTCATGTCCTCTCCACCTTTTTTACCCTTTCCCCCTCCCATGCAGGTGAAGGGCTTCTGCAATATTATCGGGCAAGTGGGCCTAAGACCCTCTAATTCTAAACATTTTAAAGATTGTACCGTCACCCTTCGATTTTTATGCTACCCATGTTTTTCCCCAATCAGTTGGAGTGGCCGTTTTTGGATCAGTCCCCGGAACGAAGATTGTCGGGCAAGCCTGAAGAAAATCGCCTCAACTACGAGGCGATGTGCACCCGTTGCAAGGAATGGGTGGAGTTCGCGGTGATGGAGCATGGAGTGGCGTACGATAGTGGAATGGATGTGTTCGTCTTTCCGAACGAGATCCTGATCGACGCCAGCGATTTTGGCCCTTTTGTTGCCAGGCTGCAGGTATGTCTAAACTTTTGATCTCAAATCATTTGTGCAAGATTTCAAATAGACTTACGTGGATGTTATTGAATTGTGCAGAACACTCCAACTATTCAAATGGTCTGAATGACCATGTTTAAAGGCAGCAGCAAGCATGGTGCAGTAAGTGTGGGATAGTAATAAATGAGGGGCACCAGGGTACGTGGGGCAGCAGTAAACGTGGGGTAGCAGTAAACGTGGGGCAGCAGTATGTAGTTCTGGCCGGCAATAAGTGTGGTGGGGCAGCAAGTGAGTGGTTGCAGCATGTGTGCGGCAGCAGCAAAAATGTGGCAGTATGCGTGTGTCAGCATGACAGATGGGGCAGTAACGGATGTGGGATAGCAGCATGTGTGTGGCAGCAAGGGAGATGGAGCAGCAAGTGAGGGGTAGCACCATGTGTGGCAGCAGCAGAGATGGAGCAGCAGCAAGTATGGGGTAGTACCATGTGTGGCAGCAGGGGAGATGGAGCAACAAGTGAGGGATAGCACCATGTGTGGCAGCGGGGGTGATGGAGCAGCAAGTGAGGGGTAGTACCATGTGTGGCAGCAGCAGAGATGGAGCAGCAGCAAGTATGGGGTAGTACCATGTGTGGCAGCAGGGGAGATGGAGCAACAAGTGAGGGATAGCACCATGTGTGGCAGCGGGGATGATGGAGCAGCAAGTGAGGGGTAGTACCATGTGTGGCAGCAGCAGAGATGGAGCAGCAGCAAGTATGGGGTAGTACCATGTGTGGCAGTAGGGGAGATGGAGCAGCAAGTGAGGGATAGTACCATGTGTGGCAACAGGGGAGATGGAGCAGCAAGTGAGGGGTAGTACCATGTGTGGCAGCAGGGGAGATGGATCAGCAAGTGAGGGGTAGTACCATGTGTGGTAGCAGCAGAGATTGAGGAGCGAGGGGTAGTACCATGTGTGTGGCAGCATGTGTGTGGCAGTAGCAAAGATGGGGCAGCCACGGCCGATCAGACGCCCAGGACGCCGCCCAGACGCCAAGGACGGCGTCCACCTGCTCGGCGCCCTCCAACCATGCGCCCCCCAACTCAACGCCCTTGCAGTGGCCTCCGTGCCCACTGCTGCAGGTCGGTTGCATCCCCCCCGTACACCCGACCACGAGGTCAGCTCCGCCCAAGCGAGGACGGGGCCGAACACAACTCCCGTTGACACTCCCCTGCCACGTTCACGCTTGGGCCCCCCAGCCCACACGGCAGCATTGCTCGAAGAATAGCTCGGCGGCATGCACACAACACACAGCACGCCGGTCACCGCACCAGCCATGCAAGAGGGCATGGCACCTACTGCTGCACGTCGTTGTCGCCGTCGCCGACTTCGGCCAGGCGCACTTGGCCGATCGCGACGGAGCACCGGTTGAAGGCCGGGTAGTGCAGCGCCTTCGTCAGGAAGTCGGCCGGCTGCTCAGCGGTCGGGATGTAGCTCAACGCGAATTTCCCGCGCCTCACCATGTGCTGCAGCCAGGCCTGTCGTCGCTCCATGTGCTTGAGGTTGCCCGTCAACCCCATGCCCCCGGCGACTGTGATGGCCGACTTGTTGTCCACGCGAAGGACAGTCGGCTTCCCGGCGTCCAGCTGCCGGAACTCTGCTAGGAGGAAGCGAAGACGGCGTCCTTCCTTCTCGGCATCAACGGCCACCACGAACTCCGACTCGGTCGACAAAAACGTCGCGCACTTGATGCGCTGGCTCGACCAGGAGACCGCGGCCCCTCCATAGACGAACACGTAGCCGCCCGTGCTCGTTCGGTTCTGCTTGTCGTCGGCATCGTCGACGTTAACGTAGCCGACCAGCTCCAGCGTCTCCGGACCACCGCCGAACTCCAGGGCGGTGTCGCGCGTGTTGGCGAGGTAGGCGAGGTCACTCCTCACCGTGAGTCCGCTCCCCAGCTTGCTGCAGGCGAAGGCGATGTCCGGCCTTGTCGTCGTCGCCGCGAACTGCAGCGAGCCGACCTTCTGCCGGTACTCCTCCTCCTGGCGTTCCTGCGCCTCCTCGTCGTCGAAGGTGAGCTCGGCGTAGGCGTCGACCGAGACCGGCGTCTTCGGGGTGCGCCCGGTCTGCTCCTGGTCGAGGAAGCGCCTACGCAGCTTGTCGGCGTAGCCCTGATGATGCAACCACAGCTTCCTCGCCGGCCTGTCGCGCACGATCTCCAGCCCGAGGTACTTCTGCACCGGCGAAATCTTGTGCAACTCGAAGGCAGCCTCCAGCAGCTCCTTCAGCTCCCTCAGCATCGCGGTGCTGCTGCTGGCGGCGAGCAGGTCGTCGACGTAGACCAACTCCCAACATGCCACCTTGTCGGCGCCGACCTTGAAGTACAGCGCCTCGTCGACCTGACTCTTCCTCCAGCCGTCTCCGACCAGCACGTCGTTGAGCGCCTTGTACCACAACAGCGGCGACTGCTTCAGCCCGTACAGACTCTTCAGCAGCTTGCACACCCGGCCGGACCCATCGTTGTAGTAGTCCGGCTGGTACATGTAGAGCACCCGGTCGAGCTTGCTCTGCAGGAAGGCGTTCTTCATGTCCAGCTGCATCAGGTTGAGGTCGAGGACGGCGACGATGCTGAGGAAGATCCTCAGCGTGACGTAGCTGCTCACCGGCGCATACGTCTCGTCGTAGTCAGCGCCATACACCTGCGTGAAGCCTTTCACGACCAGCCTCGCCTTCTCGCGCTCTACGGTGTCGTCGATGCGGTACTTCGTAGTCAGCACCCACCGGTTCTTCATGATGTTCACGCTGGAGGGCCGCTCAACGAGCTCCCACATGCCGTTGCCGATCAGGGTGCGGATCTCCTCGTCCATGGCGGCCTTCACCGCCTTGCCCTTCCAGCTTGCCAACGCCTCCTTCACCGTCATCGTCGCGATGTCCCAGCGGTGCTCGGGGTCGGCCAGCATGTCGGGGTCGAGCTCCGGAAACTCCTCATCGTCCTCGGCGTCGTCGTACGCCAGGTCGTCGTCGTCATTGTCGTACAGCGTGGTGAAGGCCTGTGGCGGGAGGCAGACATGGTAGGTGAGCCGCTACGGTGGCCTCCGGACTTGCCCTTAACGTCACAAATCAGGCTGCCCGTAGCGGACCTCCACTACATCGCTGTCAGTAGACTGCCCGGTGTCCAACGACTCCCCTTCAGCTTTGCCGGTTTCACTGTCCTCGGCGTCCTGCTGCACCAAAGCCGGCGTCCCAGCCGACTTCGCCGTTGCCAGCAGCTCCCCTATCGACTTCACCATCCTCAGCTCCCCTGTCGGCGGCTTCCCTGCGGTCGCCCCGGTTGCCGACTTCACCTCTGTCGCCGTTGACCCCTCGGCTTGCTGCTCCCATGCCTTCGGCGGCTCTGCTTCCACGCCGACTTGTTGAACGCGACTGCGGCCACCGGCGATGCTTTTGGCCGGCGCCACAGGCGACGCCCCACTGCTCCCCTCATCGCCGGAGGCCGTCGTCGGCGTCGGGGCATTCAAACCGGCCACGGGAGGGGGAATGGTAGGGGTAGGGGAAGAAGGGAAGACTTGCTCGGCTTCCTCTTTAGCAGGCCCACCGACCTCGGCGAGCAGAGGGAGTGTCACGGTGGAGGAATCCGTCGGCGAGGTAGTCGGCGTCCGCCCCGACGCCGGCCCATGCGTCGACTTCCACACCTCCAGCGACGTGGTGACTACCCTGTTGACGGCGATGTCAAAGAGTGGCTCCCAGCCCTTGCTCGCCTCCGACACGCCGAGGTGGAGGCCCCACTTGGCCTTCGGCTTCAGCTTCCCACCGCGCTGCTGCTCGGGGATGAGGAACTGCGCCATGCAGCCCCACACGCGTGCCAGCGATAAGTCGAGCTTCTTCCCGGTGAGCAACTGGTACGGCGTCGTCCCCGGCGACAGCGACGAGCGCTCGAGGCAGTTTTGGACCCAGACAGCCTGTCGAAGGGCGAGGTGCCACCAGTGGTGCTGCACACCCATGTGCAACAGCATTGTCCGCACCGACTCCACCACCGTCCGCATCTCTCGCTCCGCCATGCCATTCTGCCACGGACAGGTTAGGTCGTGGACAATCCCATTGCCATCCACGAAGGCGGTGAACTCCTTCCCGAGGAACTCCCCTCCCTGGTCAGAGCGCAGCTGCAGCACCGACTTCTTCACATGCCGCTCGACCAACACCAGCCACTGCTCAGACTCCCTCTGCACATCGGACTTCCTGACGACCGACTTCACCCACACGTAGCGGGTCTTGCGGTCCTTCAGCAGCAGGAAGTACAGGCTGCCATCCTTTGCGACCACATCAAACGGCCCGCACAGGTCGATGTGCACGACGGCCAGGGCGTCCTCGGCGTCCGAGCCCTTGTCGGGGAAAGAGTGACGTGCCAGCTTCCCACCGACGCACGAAACGCAAGGCGAGGCAGCGCCGGACGCCGACTTGAGGTCCAGCCCGGTGGCTACCTCGTGCTTCGCCGAGCTCCGGATGGTGTCCATGCCGACGTGCGCGAGCCTCGCGTGCAGCCTGTCCGGCGTCGCCTTCGTCGCCGAGACGATTGCCCGCAGGGCCACTTCCTCCGCTGCAGTCGTCACAGGGCAGGGACGCAGGTCGGTGCAGAGAACCCGGCCGGAGTACGTTGCTCGACCGAGCACGTCGCCCGTCGCCGAGACGAGTAGCATTCCATCGTCGTCGTCCTGCAGATATACATCGTTCTCCTTCAGCTGACCGGCCGACAGCAGGTTCGCGTGCACGCCCGGGACATACAGCACGTCGGGGATGAGCACCCGCTTCCCGGCCTCCCCTTGCAGCGCAACCGTGCCACGGCCGTGAACGTCCTGCAGCGCCCCATTGAAGCCGCTTACGTGCTTCACGTCGCCGCTCGGCCCCATGACGACGAAGGCGTCCTTCATCTCCCAGATGGTGCGAGCAGCCGCTGTCGAGCAGGACCACCGCCGGGTTCGCCTGCACGGCTGCTGCCACCGCCTGGAAATCCTCACCGGCCTCCGGCGCCAGCGAGACGGTCGGCTCCACAACGCCGCCCATCAGACACC